TTGAAGCTTGTCAATTAAACCCAAAATATACATTGTTTTTAATGCATTCACAAAGGTATGCATACACTGGGCAAGATGTGAATTTCGCCATAAGCACACCTAATTAATTTTTTTTTTTTTCTGAACTAATTAGATAGTCCACAAGTTGCCAACAAGTGGCCCGGCCTGTTGTTTTACAGTCAGAGAAGGTATGGAGGAGACAGAACAACAACAACAAAATAGTGGTAATGCAACAACAATAAACGCCTGCATTGATTTAAAGGGGTCATATGATGCGATTTCAAGTTTTCCTTTCTCTTTGGAGTGTTACAAGCTGATTGTGCATAGATAAGATCCCTGAAGTTGCAAAGACTAAAGTCTCAAAACCAAAGAGATATTCTTTATCAAAGTTAAGACTCTGCCACGCCCCCCTTTCAAATGCAGAGTTTTGCGCATCGTGTGTGTGTGTGTGTGCACGCGTGTGTGTGTGAGAGAGAGAAAGAGAGAGAGAGAAAGAGAGAGAGAGACACGGTCACATCACAGTGGAGTCAGCTGTCTTAACCGTGGCTTGTGTACTGCAAACACATACCAGCTTCATCACTGTGTCTGTCACGAGACTCTGTTCTCTGTCTTTACATTTATTTTGAAAGATGAAGCTCGCGATTATGGTAAGGGGGGTTACATTTCCGACGAGTGCTTGCGGTGTTCGGCCAATCACAATGCGCTGGGTCAGCTGGCCAATCAGAGCAGACTGTGCTTGTCGGAAGGAGGGACTTTGTAGAAAACGAAGCGTTTGAGAGAGGCGGGGCATAGAGGACCTACAATAATGTACAGTATTTGAAAAATAATGTGTTTTTTGAACATTAAAGCATGTCAACATATTCTGTTACACCAAATACACAAAATAATGATCTTTAAAAAAGCATCATATGACCCCTTTAAATAACTGCAGTTTAAATACCTACAAATAGGTATATTTTATTTCTCAGAACTTCTGGAGAGAAATAGCGCAGACGCTGGACAAGTATTTTGTGTGCATGCTATCAAATGGAATAAGTTGAAAGAATAGATTAGTGATCAAACTATATTGATTTTTTATAACCGATACCGATACCAATTATTTGCATGTTTATGTGCCCGATAACCGATATGCAGAACCGATATTTATTTACTGTTATAAAGTAAATAAATGACTGAGTGAAGTAAGAACATACTTCACTTTGGTTTTTCCTCTTTTTTTTTTAAGTGCTTTCATGTTCAATTTAATCTTCATATTACAACAATAAAAAACGTTTTATTTATAAAAAGCATCAACAGCAACAACACTAATATTAACAATAAGCAAAATAAATGTAGAATGTCTAATGTTTTCAAATGGAGAAAATAAATAAAGGACAGGGGTCGTATCAACTTCATTTTAAACTACAGTTTTAGGCTTCAATCCATTCTCTGGAATATTGGAATATAACAAACAAAAAAATTTATTTTATTGTATTTCTCAACTGGAATGTTATATCAGAATTATTAATAATGTTTTTGTCCTTCTAGATTATGAAATGCCTGCTGACAGCGCAGTTTATCTATGCAGTTACACAGAACTATACTCAAACTGCGATCGCTCGCGGAGATAATAAATAACCGATATCCGATTCTGGTAAAATGCTTAAATATCGGTAAATCGATATATCGGTCGATCTCTAGAATAGATGTATATGCTCAACATTTCTTTAAAAAAAAGTGACAGAGAGACACGACTGGTCCCCTGCCAGAAGTAGTAATGAAGTTTGATTCCCAAGACTGTCCAATAAACAACAGAAAAAACTTTAGATCTACAGGTGTAATGTTGACCCCAGGCCGTAGGGTGTAAGAATATAAAAGGATTTTACACCTGACTAGGTGTGAGAGTCTTTTATGACCTTGTATTAGTAGATCATAAAAGACAAGCTGGACTGTCCCACCTTTATCTGTATTCACACACTGTATTCAGAATAAGGCCTAAACTGAAGGCGTCAGTGGCACAATGTCCTATTACCAGCCTGTCTAACTTCATAATGTGGTTAACATTCTTGAGAATAGAGAAAAAATAATGGGCTTTTAAGAGGGACAATGGTCAACAAGGCATGCGATGTTGAGGCATTACACCATATTGTTGACTTACCTCAAACATCTAATGAGGACGTGTCCTACTTCTTATGATACAGAATCAAGTTTATACAAAACAGAACACTGACTAATTTGTGTTGCACTTTTAGAGCTAAACTTTAGGACAGGTTAAGGGTGTGACGCTAAAGTGCAGTCAATAACACAAGAGGCGATTTAAGACAGGGAGTGAGAGGAACTGCTAGGCGTGCACCACTGCCACCCTGCAAAAACACAACCTCAGTCACACCCAGGGCCAACTGCACCCTTCTCCTAAAAATAACTGTGCTCTAGGACAGTGGCAGTCCCTAACTGTCTCAACTCCTAAAAACAGATGAACTTTACATCACCCCCCAGCTAGTTGGCTTGATTAGGCTGCCAATGGATGCCTCAACCTATAACACCCTCCTGAAGCGATGTCACCCTGATAAAAACCAAAGGCTGAGACATACAGAGGGTAGCTGAGTTTTTAACCACTTTGACCAAAGTTTGTCCATAGATGTTAATGATTACCAGGTGTCTGGCACACCCAGAGCACACTCTCTGTTCCTCCAATGATAATGCCTCAGTCCACTCACCTCCCTGACTCCGTCAATTACAACTCATGCAGGAGACTCTGCTCCCAAGAATGAGTTCAGTTGCAGAATATGCCATATTAAAGGGAAAAGTGGTGTACAATTACATTAATTAGGTCTAACAGGTAGCTCTACAGAGGTAGAATAGACTAAAAGATGCAACAGACCTCAGTCAGGTTAGACGCCACATTGAATTTAATGCGGGTGAAATGAGGTTGTATGGGATAGAAAGACATTTCATCAGCTAAACAATCAGTATAGTGTTTGAAAGCAGTACAGTCCTTAGAATGCACTGTACGTCTATCCCTTTCAGCCTTGTGTTCATTTCTGTCAAAAATTAAATATGGTGCGAGCCTGAATAAGGTCTATATCTTAAAAATGCATCTTTGTAGGGATGGATAAAAGTGGCAAGATATTTGGCCATTTTAATATCTATCTGCTAAACATATCTAATAAGCTGGATGCTTACAAATATTTTTTGCAAAAATATTAAAATATTTTGAAAATGTATTAAACAATTAATTAGAATTATTCTTGCTTCTTTGCAGTAATGGATTAATATATCAGGCATATATGGTCATGCAAATATTTGGCTAATATTGAGATGATAGTATCCAATATCCATTATTAAATATATAAATTACAAATTATATATATATATTTTTTTTATTTTTTTATTTTTTTTTCCCAATTACACAGTGTGTGTGTGTGTGTGTGTGTGTGCAGCCCAAACCAGCGATAATACAACCTCAGAATCATCATCGCACTCTGTGTCACCTAACCTAATGACGTCAAGTTGCACCGGATGTTCGGAGCTGAACAACTGTGGTCTTTTTGCATGAGTTAGAGATGATGCCCCATATGTGCATTCATTGTTTGCCTTGACTTTTGGCTTGTAACCAGTGTTGGGAAGGTTACTTTGGAAATGTAATAGGTTACAGATTACAAGTTACCCTACTTAAAATGTAATAAGTAGTGTAACTTTTCAATTACTTTATTAAAGTAATGTAACTGAGTAATCCTTAACATTTTCATAAGTAACTGTAATTTAATTACACATTTTTTCTTAGTAACTGTAACTGATTACAATTACTTTTATTTTGTAATTAAATTACGTAATTCCGTTACATGTAACTAGTTACTCCCCAACACTGCTTGTAACTGAGAATGGAAGGTTACTTAGCTATAGTTTGGAGACAAAAATGCCCATAAAGTAAGCTAAAGCATACAAAAACATTATTTAGGGCCCCATTAGTGTTTTTTTAATTCTTTTTTAGTCTAAAATGCAGAAAAGACAAAAGTCTATAGCAAGAGTTTTCAAACTGGGGTCCAAAAGGCCACTAAGGGATCTTTGAAAAAGAAACATAAAAAATGAACACTCAAGAGTACTTGATGTGGTTACAGTTTCATTCTGCATCTGTGGAAATGAGGAGATTAACAGTGATTATTTTATTCCACTGACAGTCTGTCAAACAAGTAAAGATAAAGTTAATCTAAAACCAAATAATAAACATCACTTCTTTTGACTTTAAATTACAATACTCATGATTTTATTAAACTATTATATACATTTTTTATTTATTTGAAAAAATGTCATATAAATATTATACTAAGTCTCACAATATTAATGAGTCCCTTGCAAAAGGATCACTATTTGGGGGTTATTTGCATAAAAACATGGTCATGCCCCTGCATTTAAAAAATGTGCTTTGATTCATTTTCGTCCTTTATATTCCCCTCATGACTGAAAGTTATTGTATATAATTATCAATAATAATCGGGTCTTGATGAATAACATTTCTTTGGAGAGGACTGTTATGTCTTTTCCCTAGTTTTCAACTACATTTCCCATAATCCTTTCAAACTACACTTCCTATGATAACCGGAAGCCTCCGTACAACGGGAAACGAAGAGGTAAGGGACAAATCTGAATATGTTGTGGAGCAATAAGATCATCTCCAATAGCAGCAGTACGCTTTTCACAGTTCTTGCAACATTCACATTTTCTATGACATTCCATATTTAAGAGATTTTTTTAAATATTCATTTATATATGCATAAATTAAAAAATGTAATTAACAGATTTAACATAATGGTCAGTAGATATGATCACCTTTAAAGCTGTTATCTCAAATGTTTTACCTTTTCCGTTGGTTTCAACTACATTTCCCATAATCCGCTTCACTTACACTCACTTCCTATTGAAACAGGAAGTTAAGGGTGCAATGGGAAATATGAAGCGATAAGGAGCAAAGAGCCAATGCAGTGTATGGTTTTTCACGCGTAAAATTAGGAAATCTTACTTACGGATCGCGGGTTTGGTGTCGGGTCCAATATAGTCGGCACTCTCCCTTCCTTCAGTAAGAGTTTACTTGCATAGCCTGCATTAAACTGTGATAGGTTCACAAATGAGTCCGGACTGAAATGCGCTGAACAGATTGTTAATGTAGGACTGTAACGATCAGGAACCTCGGTAAAGAGAAACTTTAGCCATTCGTTTCTGATGCTGGGATCTTTTGGGAGGCTGTGCAGAGACACGGGCTCGATCCTACAGCCAGGAATGGCACAGCGTTTGATGGATTTCCCCCACATCTAAATACAGACGAAAATAACACTGCGCTCTTCTTCGGATCTTTAGAAATAATATTAACCTCCTTTTAGTTTCTCCATGACTGGGTGGGCCATAAATGTGGGCGATCATATGTTAATGTGCTCATGGCTGTGACGTCAATACCACGAGGGTTTCTGAGAGACTTGTTTTTGCAGCTATATAATATATACTATAGTGCTGCTAGGGAGAAAGTTTTATTCAGCACCCATTGAAGCAGAAAGGGAAATCTTGTTTTTCGTGATATTGGCTTTTTAAATCATAAAATGTTCACCTTAGCTTCTGTGTTTGTCAAACTGAAGAGTTGTTTGGTGAGGTTGATGTATTTTTCATTGTGAGAATTGACAATCAACTATTAAAGTTTAAACTCAAAATAAATTGAACGACCTCAGTTTAAAAAGTATATATTTTTATCATTCATATTAGTCATGATACTATGTTGTAATTATGGAGCCAGATCAGCCTCAAAAATAATACATTTACAAAACAAAATTCATAAATGCACCGCACAATTTACATTTACAAAATCGATTTGTAAATTCAAAACACAATTCATAAATACACAAGTAAAAGCATAAATATTTCCCCAAATGTTCACACAAATGCATCTTACCTAAATAAATTTAAAACGTTTACACAAATATGTATATATCAAGTTCTTAAATTAATTTCCATCACACATTTATAAATGACGTTACATGTATTTATGGATCGTTGAATCTGCATTTGCAAATCGTCACACGTGCGTGGACTGCTTTGAATGTGTGTGCGGCATTTTTGAGACCTTCCTGTCAGGTTAAAGGGGTCATATGATGCTTTTTTAAAGATCATTATTTTGTGTATTTGGTGTAACAGAATATGTTAACATGCTTTAATGTTCAAAAAACACTTTATTTTTCAAATACTGTACATTATTGTAGGTCCTATATGCCCCGCCTCTCTCAAACGCTTCGTTTTCTACAAAGCCCCCTCCTT